AATCGGGATGGGTGTGTCAGAGGCAGTGCGGTTGGCGCAGGATAGAGCAGGGTTTAGGGCTGTTGTGCATAGGGTCGCTATGAGTTGCAAACGACTCGCCGGCACATAACAACAACATATATAAAATCTATACATGTTTTGGAATAAAAATATGGTAAGGATCTCTCAAGTTCAGAATTTGATAATTTTAGCAAATCCTTTAACAGAATAACTCTCTTACAAAACTAACTGAATTCTTGGAGGCATGTCACTATGTATCTTTGCTCTTAGTTTCTGCTTTTATGAAATAAGGCACTTCAATCTGCATAAGTGTCAAGACCTACTAGATACAAAAACTCTGGTTTGGAAGGACTGAGACTTAACAATCAGCTTAGAGGACTACCAGTCAATGCACTTTACCACATTCCTGGCTCTCTTCATCTGTAGGGACTCAAAATTTTAAATCCATAATTAAATATCAGCAATTAATGATGAGCTTAAATTCTTAAAACAAGTCACTATTATTGTTCATCCATAAATGTCACTTTTTAAAAATTGTTTTATTTTATTATTTTTTGTGTGTGAGTGTGTGTGTGTGTGTGTGTGTGTGTACCATCAAATCAGATCTGACTGGTACAGGAGAAGATTGTCCCTTTTTCTCCAGCAGAGTATCTGGTGGATTCGAACTGCATACCTCTGGGATTGCAGTGCAGATTCTTGCCACCAGGCTACCCTCCATAAATACCACTTTTATGAATGAATGAGTGAAATCCATCTAACAGTATAATGTGTGTCATTTGAAATGACAATAAAGTAAGTTATTTTGGTGAAATGCTATAAAAATGTCAGCAGAAAGCAGTGGGCTAGAAAGAGTGTATCTCAGATCTGTTGCAGTCCTGATTGTTCCATGCTGTGTAGACTAGGATTAATCATTCAACCCCCTTGGGCCCAGTTTCTTATAAATGAAACAAAATGTACACAAGATTATCTCTGAAGATTATAAGTCTAGGGTTAAATAGTGACAAATTAGAATATGTGATCTGTCTGTTTGTTATTTGGGAGTCTGCATTTGTAACAGAGTTCCTATATGATAAAAAAAATGAAAGTCTTCACTCCTAACTGAAAGCGTGGCAGTGCAATCCACCTAGAAGCTCATCGAAAGAAAGATCTGTCAATCTGCTTCTGAATGGTCACAGCCATGAAAATCCTACTCTGTCCATGTGGGTCACAATTAGCTCAAATCAACTCAGAACAGACGGTTTTTTGTTTGCTTGTTTGTTATTAACATGTAACTAAGACCCCCTTATAAATCCCAACAATTTCTTAGGTCATTAAGTGCAAAGCAGCTGTGCTGTGGGAATTGAAGAAACCCTTTACCATTGAGGAAATAGAAGTCGCACCACCAAAGGCTAAAGAAGTTCGCATTAAGGTAACAAACCTTGCTGTTGTTTTTACATGCCGTTGAATGAACTATGACTCAGAGCAACCAGAAGACCAACAGATCTGAACCTTGCCCTGTCCTGCACCATCCTCGAAATCTGTCACGATCAAACCTATTGTGCAAGTCACTGTGCCAGCCCATCTCCTTGAAAGCCTTCCTCTCATTTACTGATCCTCTACCGTTCCTAGAATGATATTCTTCTGTAAGGACTGGTTCTTCAGATCATAGAAACCTAATATGTAATCAAACTTGTATTGAAGATAAAATTATTCTGGTGTTGGATCATTAAGTAAGAAGACACTACAAAAATTTGTACATTGGTTCTTTTTTTTTTACTTTTTTGAATTTTTTTTTTACTTTTAAAAAATGTTTTATTTTACTTCTTATGTCTTAATACTTTCATTTTAGATAGCCAATATTTCATTTGTCTAGTCTTATCAAACCATTACTCTGAGGAAATGAACATGTCTTTTTCTCTGAAAAATCTTCTATTACCTTTAAATCCATATCTGCGAACAAAAGTCCAATCCACAGAAAACCATTAGGTAGCAGTAATCAACCCTAGCTCTCAGAATGAAACATTTTCTCTTCATCTGGTTGGGTTCTAGTTATCCACAGCTATTGATGGCTAAGTTCAAATGAGCATTAGCTGCAAACTCGAGAGTCCACACTTCTTCCCGTGTTTTAGATCAACAGGTGCCCTCGCCCTCACCCTCACCCTTACCCTCATTCTCACATGGGCCAGTCAACACATCAAGGATTCTTGGGACTCTCTGCTCTATAAACTAGCAACCCTTCTTCACTTATCTATTCATCATGCTAAGTGGATAATACTGAAGGAACAAATCCAAACTAGCCCTGTCTTCTTCATTATTGTGTATCTCCCACTTCCACACATCAAATGGAGCTGGGTGATCATCAGAAGTTAAGCATGTTCACCATCTTCCTTTACCTTTAAAATCTTGGGAAGGGAGTTGTGATGCTCAACCTATTTCTCAGCAAGTAGACCCAGGTGATCAACATGAGTTAAGCACACTCATCATCAGCTTTACCTTGCTTCTATTTATTCTAAGTCTCTTTTTCTGCTTGTCTGCTTTTTTTGTTGTTGTTTTTTAAGCAGCAACACACTTACTTAGTACTTTCAAATTCTTACAAATAAAGATATTCCACAGCACCCAGAATAAAGAGAATCCAACTATGGAACGCAGATATGGCTGTTAAGTTGAGATGTGTTTTTAATATGTATTTGAAAACAACTGGCAAAATCATTTTAATTCATTCTAAGCATTTTCGGTTGGAGGTGAAAGTCTCCCTGAGTGTAAGTTTCTGATTTACTTGGGCAATTCTGACAAGGTCTAAATCCACGTCAGAGAGAAGACAGCAACATCTCTGCTTTCTCTTGCCAAACCAGGATTTTTCTCGTGATTCTGTGCTTTGTCCCTTGGCATCCCAAAGGTCTTCCTGAGTTTAAAGAAAATTCCTGTTCCTAATCTTCCTTTTCTTTCCTGGCAAAACCAGGCTGCTCCTTGGAGGCAAGGATTCTGAAGCTCTGACATACTTTGGGCATGTTGTAAGGAAGGATCAGTCCTTGGAGAGGGACGTCATGCTTGGGAGGGTAGAGGGACAGCGTAGGAGAGGAAGAGCCTGGGTGAGATGGATTGACGCAGTGACTGGATAAATGGGATTAAGTCTGTCCGAGACAATGAGATTGGCTCAAGATAGAGCAGGGTTCAGAGCTGTTGTACATAGGCTCACTTTGAGTCGTAGGTGACTTGACAGCACATAATAATAACAATCTTCCTTTTTTTATTAGACAATAAGTATTGTCCTATTCTTTGGATAAAGTAGTTTGGAGCTTTATTGTGTGTATCAGTTCTTCACATGAAAATGGCAGATTTCTGTTTAATGGATGTTGCTAAATTGGAAGTATGTTCTTCCAAAGGTTTGAAATCGTAGTCTGAATTATGGATCTCGCTGAATAATGTAACCCTGGACTAGACATCTTTATGTTTTCTGGTTAAGTCTTATTCATGAGGCTTTTGTTGTAGTAACTTTATTAGTTTCCAATTATTTGGTATCATCACTATGCATTCTTACATCATTTAACTACATTCTTTATTACTCTATGCCTTGATCCCAACAGTGATTTTGGAAACAAAGCAAGGTGTAGAGGTGGTTTTGCTTCAGATGAGGTCATTAAGTCAGACTCCAGCTTGAAAAAAACCAATCAAGAAATGAGGCACAACTTTCTAACTTTTTTGGAACAAGATCATACTAGTGGCTTCTTATTTTGCTATAAATAGGGTCAATTTCGGGTCTATCAGTCCACTGCATTAAAAAAAAAAAAAAGCATTCAAATAAACTCCAAAAAGTAAAGCACAGGCAAGTGTTGCCTTTTCCAACACTCTGGGCTCACTCTGCCACTGCTGTCTCTTAACACTCTAGTTGTGTTTATTTATTTTTTTTCACATCAGACTATTTTGTCAGAAAAACTTCATTTTATATTCCAAATAAAAGACTGCTGAATCTTCTGAGGGGGAAAAAGGGTCATCCATCTTTGATCATGCAGTGAGCTGATTCCAATACAGAGCAACAAGGTAAACAGACTTGATTGTAATTGCTCTGTATGAAACAGTGCGGGTGAAAGGAAATTGTGACTCTTGAGAAAGAGCTTTTCCTCCTTTACATTATCCCCCCTTTCATCTAGAAATGGCTGTAATTTCCAATCAGGGCAAGGGCTGGGCTGTCTTTCTTCCACCAAAGACTCTTCTAGCTGACAGAGACCATGGAGCTGCTGTGGTTCTGCCGGCTGCCCAGCTCCCTCCGCAGCCTCACGTTCTTCTCCTTCTCCTCCAGCAGCCTCCTCTTCACTGTACGAAGCTCCTGTTGAGCCTCGCACTTGATGTCGTTGGCCACCACCATGGTAGTCTGCAGGTCCGCCTGGAACCGCCTCCACTCCTCAGTGTCCTCCTTTATCTGCTTCGTCAGGGCCTTCAGCTGCCTCTCCAAGCTTGACTTCTGCTCCTCCAGCTTCAGTACGGTACTTTCTAGTTCTCTAATGATCTGGTTGTTAAGCAGTTTGACTGCTTGATGCTGTTCCACCTGATCTTCCAACTCGAAGATGGTTTCCTTCATGTCCTTTTTCTCTGCATCGCTCTCTGACGCTTTCTCTTGCAACTGCAGGCTGGTTCTTCTCAGGTGTTCTGCTTGATGATCACATATCTCCTTCAAGTAAGAGTAGTCCTTTTCCACCTTGATTAGCAGACTTGACACGTGTTTAATTTCACCATTTGCCTCTGGTAGTTCTTGTTTGAGTTCGGTGCAAGATATTTCCAGTCGCTCTTTCTCAGAATGAGCTACTTTCAACATTTCTTGTACTTCACAGCCCCCTGCCATTTCCCCTGGTGTCTCCTTCACTCTCTGTTTCTCACGCTCTAATTGAGCCTGTAAAGTTCCGTTTTCAATCTTCAGCCCTTCCAAGGTAACCTGACATTCTTCCAAGCTTTTGGCCATCACACTGCTATTACGCCATTCCAGTTTTTGGAACCCATTCAGTTTATCATTTTCTTCCTTCAGGTGTTTAATCATTTCTAAGGCTCCTTGGTTTTCTTCCTCAGCCTTCCTGCACCATTTGTTGCTGGTCTGACAATTCTTGCAAAGTAGCTTGTAGCTTTTCTGCTGTGCTGTGGTGATTCTCTTCCATATTTTGTATCTTCTTAGTAAGGGAAGCCAGAGACAATTCCCTAATGCTGTTAGACGAGCTTCCACTGGAGGAACATTCTGGACTATTAAAGGGGTTGCTATCGGAAGAAATCGGTCTCGAGGGACTATCTGCTGTTATGTGCTTAAAATCAGAGCCATCTGGTGACAAGGAAGCTTTGGTAACATCGCTGCTTGAAGAATCTGATGTCCTAAGTGCACTTTCTTGTGTCTTTTTTTGATACTCCTCTATTTCACCTGACAGCTGGTTCTGGCTTCTGAAGTTTAGCTCTTGAGTTACAGATGTTGGGCAGCTGCTGTCAGCAGTGTGACTTGCCGTTCCGTCTGAGCTTGGTGAACAACAAAGTAACTGAGTTTTTCCTTCAAGGACCGGTTTTCTTCCTCTAGATCAGCAAGTTCTTTCTGAAAATTCTTGTTCTT